CCAATTAAATCTTAAAATCACTAGATAATCCACACAAAAGATCAGACTTGGGAATTGCATTTATTTTATGGAAAACTTTATTTTGATTAACTTCTGTCCCCAGTAGTTACTATGTGAAACTGAAATTCCTTTTCCCTAAGAAGAAACTTGTGCCGTAGATTTTTTGTTAGTAACAACCTTTGTACAAACTTTTGCATCGCGATAAACTTTGCCCGGCCGACAAAAATAGTTCTTCTTGGGGGCACAATGAATGTCTTGAGAGCATATACACAAGCCTTCCAAAGCACATCCCTCTTTTTCAATAGTCACCTTTCCTTTTAATCCAAGAATTTGATCTGTCCAACTGTTGGAAAACAACCCCTGTGGATCATATTTGTTTTTAACCTTGAGAAATTCACTCGCATTTTTGAATTTCTTGATCACCCCATCAAATGCAACGTTCCGATTCTTTCCCCAGTGTGGCAAGGCACCATACTTGAATATTGCAATCTGCTCTATTTCTTCCAAAATGTCTTCATATAGTCTAGGGCTCATTGGATCCTTGCTTCTGTAGTATGTGATGTCAAAATCCAATGCATCTTCTTGTTTTCCCAAGAATGCCGTGGAAGTAGTAACATATCTCATTAGTATTCCATTGTATAGATCCAAGCCACACATGGACTTAGGTTCAATGGCTACTAGCTGCTGTACATCTTCAATGAAATTTTTCACTTTGGACGAGGAAATGCTAAACGTAGTTTGGTGAAAAAATAGACCTTTGACACGATGATCCCATGGACATGCAGAGATTGTCAAATCCACCTGTAGTTCTTAAACTTGATAGAACTAGTGAAGCCATAGAACGAAAACCTGGAAAATCAAGGAGACCGTTCCCGGACGTGTTGGAGGGGACTCGATCATCAATTCGGTACGCAACTCGTTTTTGACTCGGATACCATATGAAGTCTGCATATTCGTGCTGCCTCCCGAAGCTGACCGCTTGCTCCCCAAGGTCGGAATCATTCTTTCTTACATATGTAATAGAGCGTTTGAATAGTGGTTGCAATTTCAACGTCACCTTGAATTTTTGTCAAGGAAGAGTGTGAAATACTAAATTTAAATAAATAAATATGTTCCTTATCTAATACATTAAGTTTTTAGATGAGTTGGTTCAACCTTGGTTACATGTTCATGCCAATAATTTATATATATGCACGAGATTTAAAGATGATAATAACTTATTTATTTTTAAAATGCACACTTACTGTTACTCTTGATGGCCGAATTTCGGATCCTAAAAATTGTGAGGGAATCATGGAATTAACCAAATTTAACATAAATGTACCTGCGAAATAACCCCAAGAACTCCTAGCGACACTTTAGCTGCATCGAGCTCAGGGCTTCCAATCTCAAGTGTCCGGACCTTTGCATAACCCTCTTCAGCAGTAGCTGGAGTCACAATCCGAAGTCGAATTACATAGTCATGAACTTGACTCCCCAAACCCCATAAAGAGCTACCGTGTGCACCTGTCAAAGACAAAATTTAAGTTATCTCGCTAACATTTGAAGCTAGGTGATTGTAACAAAAAACTTAGGTTCAAGTGAGCGGGCAGAGAGTAGATACTTTCTTTGTGCATATGTTAGAGGCTTTGATGGAAAAAATGCATTCACTTAATTAAAAAATTGAAGTAAACAACTGATCCCTTTCTAATATTACCTGTTCCCATCATTCCACCGATGGTCAGTCCCCACCAATATGGTGCGTAAGGCAAAGCCAGTTTCGCCTTTGCAGCCTCATTGATCAGCTGCCTGAGGGTCATCCCACTCTCAACAGTCATCGTCATGCTCGAGACATTAACGACTAACGTTCGATTCAGGCACTTGGTGCTTATCAGAAGTCCATTAATGCCTTCGGGACAGACCAACTTAGGAATACTATGTGAGGTGCGAGTTGCTACTTTCATTTTTGTCTTGGCCATCGTTGCATTTGCAACTGCCAATATAAGCTCTTCTTCTGTCGTGGGATAGACAACCTTTGCCGCACGACATATGCTTCTGTCGGGGAATGCACCATAGGTATTGGTAATGGTGCAATTAGAGTTATTGACTGTACACTTTACGGGATCTTCTGGAGGGCTACAATTCACCATGCATATCAAAATAAAGAGGATGCATTTTTCAATTGCTGTTCTGTTTCTTTACATGAAAGCGTTAATGAGCACTTCCATGGTTTAGAAATTTCTGACAGTACAGTTTCTTGGTGGAATAAGGTGACTTCCAAGTTTAATGACACATAGGGAACTTTAAGATAGAAATATGCCTAAATCATACGCATGCTTTGAAGTAAAGGCGTTACACCTATCCAGCTTTCTATTTTTGAAAATTTAGGGCCGGTTCTTTTTGCTGTTTTCAGCCCATTTTCAGTTTTCAGTTTTCGAAAACACTGAAAATACATTTATTTTCCTATTTTTAGAAACGAATTTTCAAAAACGAGTTTAAAATTTACAAAGAAAATGGAAAACGCCAAAAAAATCGTTTTGGCTGTTTTCAGTTAAAACTAAGCCAAAACTTTTTTTTTTATTTTAGAAAATAATTTTTCAAAATAACAAAAAGAACGCATTTTCAACAATTTCAAAATGGACACTAAAACACAAAACCCAAAATGAATTCAAAACTCAAAACTAAAAATTGAAATACAAAAAGAACAGTCCCAAAATGAAAGCTCTATGGATTTGATTGTTAGCTTGTGAATTAAAAGATATTCCTTCCGTACCATAAAAATGGACTCGTGTTCATTTTCTACTATATCGTTGTGGTCAAATCTCATATAGAAAGGTGTTACCTTTGCCCTAAACTCATTTCGTGGACTCGGCAATCTGAAATTTGTGCACTTGCTGCAATGTAATCATTCTACTCGAGGCAAATGGTGATTCACGAAAATTTATGCTTGAAGATTCATTAGGATAAGATTAAATAAATAAATATTTCTTTAGAATTATCCAGTCTTGAGAAAAAAGTGTCCATATTTTTCTATTGAAAATGGTTAAGTTTCACCATCCTGTTACTTATTTTAAGTGATTTTTGAGTGCAGTTACCTCAATGTTTATCGTAATTGTTGGAGAACAAGATAAAAAGATGTTGACAGATTATAAAAAAGGAAAGCTTGCAGAGAACTCTTTATTAATAAACACTGATAAGTCTACTTAAAACAACTTAGAGTAAGGCTCTTTTATAGGCATAGATGAAGTACAAATATCTAAACTTACTCTGCTAAATGTAAGGAACGATCCTAAAAATACTTAACAACCTANAGACAAAGAAATGTACTTTCGCAATCTGAGCACTTCCATGGTTTAGAAATTTCTGACAGTACAGTTTCTTGGTGGAATAAGGTGACTTCCAAGTTTAATAACACATAGGGAACTTTAAGATAGAAATATGCCTAAATCATACGCATGCTTTGAAGTAAAGGCGTTACACCTATCCAGCTTTCCATTTTCTGAAAATTTAGGGCCGGTTCTTTTTGCTGTTTTCAGCCCATTTTCAGTTTTCAGTTTTCGAAAACACTGAAAACACATTTATTTTCCTATTTTCAGAAACGAATTTCCAAAAACGAGTTTAAAATTTACAAAGAAAATGGAAAACGCTAAAAAAGTCGTTTTGGCTGTTTTCAGTTAAAACCAAGCAAAAACTTTTTTTTTTTTAATTTTAGATAACAATTTTTCAAAATAACAAAAAGAACGCATTTTCAATAATCTCAAAATGGACACTAAAACACAAAACCCAAAATGAATTCAAAACTCAAAACTAAAAACTGAAATACAAAAAAAATAGTCCCAAAATGAAAGCTCTATGGATTTGATTGTTAGCTTGTGAATTAAAAGATACTCCTTCTGTACCATAAAAATGGACTCGTGTTCATTTTCTACTATATCGTTGTGGTCAAATCTCATATAGAAAGGTGTTACCTTTGCCCTAAACTCATTTCGTGGACTCGTAATCTGAAATTTGTGCACTTGCTGCAATGTAAAGATTAAATAAATAAATATTTCTTTAGAATTATCCAGTCTTGAGAAAAAAGTGTTCATATTTTTCTATTGAAAGTGGTTAAGTTTCACTATCCTGTTACTTATTTTAAGTGATTTTTGAGTGCAGTTACCTCAATGTTTCTGGTAATGACATGTCGTGTGCACTAAATTGAGTTAGGAAAGTAGAGACAGACATGAAGTGGGTGCGTACCATGTGTCGAAGCCCACATTTTGTCAACAAGGTATGTGTTTCCATTAATGAAAGTCTGTGCGCGTACAGATTATAGGGGAAGGCTGGAGCCTCCCCTATCAACCTTCATAATTATTAATTAATGTTACTGTATGCACCAAAAATAAAAAAAGGAAGAGGATAACTAAAGTCAAATATGCAATATGGTTAAGGCAACTAGGTAGAGTGTCATTGATCTAGTTTAGAAATTGACGGTGTAAGAAAGCTTGAGGATTAATATTATGTTATCAAATAATTTGAGAATGAAATTGAAGATGTAGAAAAGTTTGAGGATGAACTTGATGCTCTTGATTTGTTCAAGGATGAAATTTTATTTTAGTGAACAATGTGTGATTGAAAATGAGTTTTGAAAAAACGTATTTTAAAAGAAGGTGTCAACGGAACTTTTGTAATTGGTGATGAGAGAAAAAAACCATCAGCTAAGAATCTTGGACACCAGTATGGACAGCGTCATGTATGTGTAGCATTATGCTTTATCGAATAAGGAAATAGAGATGAAGAGAAATAAGCAAAAGAGTGAAAATGGAAAGAGCTCTTCTCCAAGCGTTTCTTAGCTGCCTAAGTCATACTATGATTTGGTAAGGACATTGACATCTTAAATCTTAGATTATTTCGTTTTGGTGAGATATATATATTAAGGGTAGTGGATTAGAACGAAAATTTAAGAATGATTTCATATTTCCTTGAGTTTCTGCTGGGTGTTAAAAAAAAATTAAATAAGAAAAAAGAACGGCGAAAGTAAATAACGTGTTTGAAATGGGTTCTGTCTATTTTCGGCCAGTGGGCTATAGAATTTCAAGAAATAAATGCTCGTGGACTTCCAGTTGGGCAAACAAGCAATGGGTTCTTATTGGATTCAGTCTCATTTGAATAGATACATGCTTGTTAATAGAAATTTATTTCAACAGGCATTGTGTTGTTTGTGTAGAGATCTGTATAATTTTTCCAACTTTATCTTCATTGTGTTTCTGTGTTTTTTGAGTGATTTAGCCTTTCGTTAGCATAAATATCGTGTGTGTATCTCTTTTGGAGTGGTGATTTGCTGTGGACTTTGCTACTGTGATTGGTGCTGCTTACCACTTGATCTCTGTACAAACGGAAGACCTCAAATTTCAATTTGATTTTGCTCAACTTTTCTAGGTTTTTGTATTCGTTTCGTTTTCATGCTTTCATCCTTTTTTTTTTTTTGGCTGAAGTACAGAATGACGCGAAAGAAAATGAGTATTTAATGAATTATTTTTGAATTAGGGATTTTTTTTTATGTTCGATGATTTCTGTTTATGCTCAACAAATGCACATTGTAATGTAATTACCACACTATTATTGGACTATAGAGAAGAGTAAGTTGTGCGCACACTTGGTATAAAAGCTACAAAGCTTTGGCTTACCCTCTTTGCTTCCTACTCTTCCACTGCTATATTAAGTTCTCTTGTCCTTTCAGGCTAGAAGTCACCTACCTGCCTTGATTGGATGCTTGAATGCACTGGGCGAATGGCACTTAAGCAGAAAAGTAACAAGCAAGTAGATAAGTACGATTATTGAGTTTGATTGGATACTTTTTCTTTTTCATGGATCTTTTGAGATAAAGATGAGTGGATTCCCTTTTTGTGGCGGGAAGAGCAAGGAACTTGATCTAAGGATGTTGAAAAGCCCCTCTGTTTAGGATCTTCTAATTTTTTTGAATACGAAAGTCTTGCTCCATGTTCTACTGATTAATCATTTTCTGGACAATGAACAGATTTTTTACTCTTTTTATTGGACATATATATAATTCGATGTTTTAGTTGAAATGCATACTAACTACTCTTTTTCACTTTCAGCTGAGAAATCTTTTTTGGGCTACCTCAAAACAGGATGTGTATCTCATGCAAAACTATTCTGTAATGCACTGGTCCTCTCTTCTTCGAAGGGGTAAAGAATTAGTACGTACTAATGTTGCCAAACCTATAGGGTCAACCATAGCGAGTTGCATTCCTTTAATTTTTATATTCTATTTTGAGTTTTACGAAATTCATTTGTGCATTACCTTTGTGCTTCATTTTACGGAAAAATATCCACTGTTGAAAATGTTATTACTAACGCGGTGGATATATATCACAATCCTAGTAAGAATTTAAATTCAAGTGCTCTCTAAGTTTTTATCTGCTCATCCTTGGCATG